TAGGTAGAAGATGGGGGAAGTTCAGTTGAGATGATATTCTAAGAGAAGGCCATACTGACCTGATTTGGGAGAGAACATTAAGATCATTCCTGTCCACATGGTGCTACATCTTAGATGGGGTCAAGAAAGAGATGCTTGAGTTAGAAAAGGATTTTAGTGGGTTCAATAGAAAGCAAGTTTGTTGACTTATTAAGTGATATTTTATATTATTAGGGAAAAATAGAAAACACAAATTATTTGATTAAATAATTTTTGTTGCTTTTTTAGACTTTTTATCTGGAACTAACAGTAATAACTCTTCCTATAGAAGACCTACTATGTGTCATGTACTCAACATTTAAATCCCATTTATTCCTCCCAAGAATTACATGAAATAGGGTCTGAGAATATAATTGTATGGTATTTTAGCTTAAGTTTCTGTCACTTGATGTGTTACATAGTCTGCATAAATTATCATGTTCAATACTCACAATAAACATATGAGAGAAGTACCACACATGAAGAAGGTGAGGTTTTAGAGTTAAGGAGGCTTCTCACATTTACAAACCTCATAAATATTGAGACAGGGATTCAATTCTGTGTCTTTTGGTGTTTTCTGGAACCCACATTCTTACCTACTAAATATCTGTGAGTGTACATAAGAAATATAAAAAGGAGTAAAGCATCATGACCAGTTGCTATAAGATCCTCCAGTAGGATGGAAGGATAAATACTGGCAAAGTACAAAGAAACAGGAATGCAACCAAGCACAAGTGTGCGTGCATACGTACACATGTGCGTGTGTGCATATAGATTTGCAGAATGTTTGATGGTGATGGAAACCTGCTCAGTCAGGGCTCGTGTGAAGAGGTGATTTTGAAGAGGATATATAAACTAGGAATGACAAAAGCTTGGGCTCAGGAGAAATCACATCTTCATTAATAATCCAGGTCTTTCTTTGAGAACATCTGATTTTAGCTGTTTAACAAATTCCACTTCTCAGCTCATTGATTTGTCTGTTTACTCACTTGTGTAGTCATTGTGCAGCTATGTGACAGGCCCTGTACCACAGCTTACCGATAGAGCAAAGAGGTGTGACCTGTGTATTACTCTGGAAGTGGCAGGAGGCCATGGTAACCTTAGGCTTTGGTCTAAGGTTTTGGTGTATCATTGTTCTATTTTTCCCAAAGTCCAATGATAATGTTATATTCTAAAACAGAGCTATGTCTTATTCACTGGATAATAACTACTTAAAAGGCAGGATTAATAGAGCATCTAGCATATTCTGTGTATGAATTTATATATACAACAAATAGTAAGTAGATCTTCAGAGACCTTTGGTGTGGTAATAGTAGAGCAGTAGCTCTAATCCACCTCTATCATTTGTACATTGTATATCACACTTCTAGTAGGTCTTAATATGTTTGTGTTTTAGTGCCTCTTTAAAGGTTATTTTTTTTGGTACTGTCACTATTCTTTGCACTTCATGAATGCCCAATAATTGTTCACTGGGAAGACTTGTGTTCAGTCTAAAAGTCAATACTTTGATATCCCTGTTTTAGCACTTATGAAAATATGTGACATAAGACTGTATAAAAATTCATTTGTCTTGAAGTTTGATATGATCTTAGCTTTGATGAAATTACAAAAGTGGTAAAGAACCAAAAATGAAATTCAGAGAAATCATTAAGATTCCAATTAAAGAAGATTAAAACATGGAATAGTTCACATGCGTTATTCATGAAAAACCTCTTTTCAGGAGATAAAAATACATTTCAAAATCAAATTATGTCATCATCTGGGCAGGTGGTTGCTATAGCAGTGAAGTAAAAAAAAGACAGTAAAATTAACTAAAGGCTGTCAGAGAGAAAAATATGTAAAGTATTCAAAGCTTTTGAAGTTAGAACTTTAAATGCCAAGTTTGAATTTGAGAGGGCTGTGGGTCACTCTCTTCACTTAACTGCCATATGATGCCAGGAAGGCCACATGCCCAGAAACATGCGGGACAATGTGTGGCATCACTCTGAGTTTCTGGCCACCATAGAAACATACCAGCTGTCATCACAAAACCATCAGGTTCAAAAAAATCAATTATTTAAAAAAAAAACATTTATTATTCAAGACTGAAAAATCCCATTTATTTTACTGAATCTCCAAGTCTAAAAAATGGAGTCCTCCCACTTTTTTAGTTATCAAGGTGAAGAAGAGACAGTAAGTGATGGTTAGGACCACAACTGGAATAATGAGATCCTTAACCATATCCTTGACCAGTCCTAAACTATCAGGAGCACCAAACATTGTCAGGGTGCTTGAATATCACAGGAAATGTGACTGGTCAAGGAAATAAATATTTGGCAGAACTCTTTTCAGAAAGAGGATTTCATTAATTGAAAATTGCATATTGAAAAACTGCGCTCAAAAGTGAGTTTACCAAGGTAAGGCCCCCCGAACCCCAACACATACACAGAAGATGATGGGAGTCACAATACAGTTTTGGTTTTGCTGAATGAAGATGCAGAAGATTATGGATAGAGGTGAATTACTGTAGATGCTCCTTGGTTCTTTATCACTTAATCAGTAACCACAATCTAAATAAATGTGGAAAAAAATATTGAACAAATACTCTAATGGCTCAGTGGTTTGAAAAGGCACCACGTGTTCATGAATGTTATGACCCAGAGTTATGTACTTTTGATTAAAATGGAGACACTCTTAGTTCTTCTGTTTCATCAATTCCATTAAACTTTCTGCCAAGAGAGGTTGTAGGATTTCTTGTCCAAGTGCTCATCAGCAGAGCACAGCCCATGCTCTCCTACTGATAAATAAGAAAGCCTCTCAAATATTCTTCCTGAACTCCCACACTGACTCTGTGGTTCTATGTTTTAGATGTTCATCAGTTAATGTTGAAATGTTGTCTTACTGAGGCTAAAAATCTTTTACTTTTCTAATTTCACCAAACCCTGAGGTAGACTTGGAATGCTTTCTATTAAAAGCAAGGTTCCACTTGGATGGTAACATCTCTTCTTATGAAGACAGCCTGGATACTGGTGAATTAGGCAAATGACATTATTTTCTTGGGTTGAAAACTAAAAATGCATCAAATACATATAAGCCTGTAATAGTTCACCAAGATGGCCAGGGAACTTTGTTACACCAATGAGGATATGCATATATAGTGCTTCAAGGATAGACCAGTCAGCTTTATAACCCTAGAAATAAGCAAAAATTTTGACAGGCTACCCCTTCACAGTGTATGCCTCTAAAATATTCATGTCTTTTTAGCATTTCCAAACAGAATTTCTTTCACCTTGGATCTTTGGATATTTATTATCAGAGGCTTGTTTTTCTCTCTTTGAAGTTTTCCCGTTTTCTTCCCCAGTTTGCAGCACTTTTATAATGTGAAGGGCTTCACTCTGGAGAACCACTGATGCAAAGAAAAACTGCATGGACACACACTGAGAGAATGAAAACAGCAGGCTAATTCTGCCTTTTCCTGCTGCCCTCCTCCCACAGATAGTTATAAAAATCAATAAATAAACACAAAAATCCAGATAAAAGCATATATGTATATGTATACACATACACACGATGGCTTTTTTTTTCCTTACTGTCACATGTGCCGAATAAAAACCTCCATAAAGCTGCTGAAGCTTTCTGACGTCATCAAGTCCTTTTCTGTGAGTCATTACGTTGCTGAAGCCCAGAAAAATCAAATTTAGTTTAGGGCTGTTTGATAGTGTCACAACACAGAAAAATGTGATTCACCAATTAGCTCATGTAATTGGATAATCAAACACATGCTCCGAGCAAATGGAGGACACACTAGTCCATTGTCATTGTCATTCTAGATAGTTACTGACTACAACTACAGCTATGCCTTCCATTGATACTGCTTCCAAATTCCTTGCAGAAGAGAATCCACAAATATCTGTGTCTGTAAGTTGGATATATAAATTATCTTTTAGTTCATTCTTTCATTCATTACCATTTTATTCTTCAGCTGTTCCCTCTTGCCAGGCTCTGTGTTAGTCAAAGTGCTGGCTCTCATTCTACAACTACTGTGTTTAAATTCTCTTAAGATGGAAAAGCAAACTGAAGTTCAAATCCTCCAAATACTGCAATTTTATAGTTAAGAATTGTCTCCCTGATTCCTAAATTCTCACAATGTTGTTAAGACACATATTAGAAAAAAGAAGTGGCCAATTTGAGAAATTTCTTGCTCAGGGATTTTGACTGGCTAAGAAGAAATCTCTGACAGATAAAAGTGGGAATTGAATATTGGTTAGATTATTTTAAAGAAACTTTTCATATTTCTTTGTGCATATCTTGAAATCTAACATGCCTGGATGTATGCAAAATGTATTCCTATAAATTCAAGTTAATTCAAGGGTTGGCTGGGAGGTTAAAGTGAATTCTCACTAGGAATTTCAAAATGGTTCTGCCTTTACTCTTTTCTTATTGCTACTGAAGGATGTGGGCATGGTTCCATGGTCCAGGGTATCCCCCCAAATATAATAAAAGAATGAAAAGAAGTTGCCTGAAATTGAACCAAAAAAGACTTTTCTTAGCTGACACAGTTATCTTTAAAGCTGTTCTACTACCAAAAAAGTGACATGTAGTCATGCCACATTTATCATTGATTCCTAAGGTTATATTTTAGTGTTTATTCATGAAATTGAAAAAGACATTATCAAACAATTCATTGTATAACATAGGCCCTAGATGATTTGTTCTTTGTAAACTTGTGACACATATTTTATATTATTTCCTCCTCCCTGCAAAAATACTCCATAAAATTCTAAGAAATGCCATAATCTTTGATCATTTTTGAAATGTTTCAGTCATATATTTTAAAATAGATTGAATTATATTTCATTTGGACAAAAACATATAATCACAAACAGTGAGAAAATATGGTTTATTCATGACCATAATGAAAATTTAACCCCCAAGCACTTTTTAAAAGACATCTCCTCCTCCATGTGTATTTAATAATTTTCTCTCTTTTTTCCTATTTACAGGTTAATGGAACAGAAATCGAATATGAGTTTGAAGAGATTACACTGGAGAGGGTAAGAAAAACTTACAATTTCAAAGTCACAATTTTGCCTTCCGCATTCTAGGTCCTAATTGGTTGTCTTGTGAAATTGCACAAGTATGTATTATAACCTGGAAATTTTCCTACAGGATTCACGATGAGAATATTAGTCAAATGCTTGCAGTGATAGCATTGAGACAACACACAAAATAAATAGAATGTTCCATATATGAAATGCATTGCCAGGATTTGGGAAAATGAACAGGAAAAACAGAAATGTTCCATAGCCTTATAGACACTTTATTCCTAATTTTTTTCTGATTCGTGTTTTGGCCATACATTTCTAAAATATGTTACGATATGATTCTCATTTATTTGATATTGATAGTATCATCAGAACTATACTTAAAATGCATCTTTTATTTAATTTTTAAAAAGTGATGAATTGTAAAATCATCCCCTTAGGGATAAACAGGGCAACCTTGCAGAGCTCTGCAAATATGCTGGAAGGTCCCTGGTAAAAGCTTTTGGCAAATAAAGGAAATTCTATACCACACGGCCATAACATAATTAGATATTTTATAAAACACTAACAGAAAAGTAATAAACCATCTAGAAAAAAATGACCAAAAGTATTAATAGGGTATTCATCATTATAAAAAGACCAATAAACGTGTGAAAAAGAAAAAAGAAACAAAGAAAGTGAGAGGAAACAATTTTTGTCTCTAATTGGCAAAGATGTTAAAGGAATATTAATATCCAGTGCAAATGAGTGGTCCTGGAAATTAGTGCAACCCTAAAAGAGCAATTTAGAAACATAAATCAAAAGCCTTGAAAATGGCCACACTTTTGGATATGCAAATTATATTCATAAGAATGGATGATTACACAAAGAATGCTCATATTGGTATTATTTATAATAGTGAAGGCTGAAAATGTTTTTAAATGCATATTTTTTGTAATTAAATTTAATACAATTTGCATGAATAAAAATTATATTAAATTTAAATTTAATTAACTATTAATCACATTTGAGTAGTATTTTACAAAATATTTAGTTGTAGGTAAATGAGGTCTACCTTCATTATTAAATTTAAAAATTAAGTTTGAAAATGGTATTTCAATGCAATCAAATAAACACAGAACTGTACATACATAAATACATGCCTGAAGTCTGGAAGGAAATCATACCAGAATGTTAAAAGTAGTGCCCTCTTGTTAAGGATTTTAGGGTAAGTTTTGGTTTCTTCTTTTTGTGTATCTTTATTTCCTAAACCTTTTATAACAAGCATATTATGCATTTAAAATAATAAATAAAAATGTGTTTTTCAGTTAGCCATCATTCAAGTGTAAATTAAGACTCCAGCCCTTCGCTTTACATCTCCTTTTTAATTTACTGCTTATTCGCTTTCCTGGTCAAGAAATTTCTCAGTTTTAGCCTAATTTTTATTGAGTGTGAGTGGTTTTAAGAGGAAATTTACATTGAATGTTAAGTGTTTGACAAATGGGGTCTTTAAAACTTCCATTATGGCCTTTGATAAAATTTTAATGGCATGCTTAATAGAGAAAAGTGAGACTTATGGAAAACTAACCCAAATAAGAAAAAAAAAAAAAGGTAACACACTTTAAATCACTAACCTCTTCTCCAGGACTGGGTGTATGATTTGTGAGATTTAGCACAAAATGAAGATGTGGGGCCCTGTAAACACAGGGCCTGTGTAGGCTTCATCCATGAAACCCACTCTTCTCTCTCCACCCAAGAAACAAAGAGAGCTGCTTTCTAGGTCAAAAATAATTAGAAGCCAGCATTGCAGTGAGGGAGCTTTCCATGGAATCAGATAAACTGTAGGTTCTTCCCTAGGTCTGATGTTTACTTGCTTCCTCCTAATGAGCGGGTTCTCTCCTCCCTTACTTCCTGCCCTAGAGTTCTCAGTCATACTAGGAGCCTTGTCTCTTCCATTGACTGCATCCCTTCCTAAGCCTCTATGTCAGCATCATCTTTCCTGAACAGTGCCTCCTCTCTGACCCTATCATTTGTAGTACGCCTTCTCTAGAAATCCTTCAGCCTCCAATGGGGCCTTGAGGCTGGTTTCACAATTTCCCTTCAATTTTCACCTTTCTTTATGCCCTGACTCCTCCCTCACCTACAAACACTGCCTGATTCTTACTTAAATTTTTGCTTTCATACATTCTTAGTTTTTCTTCTACTCTCTCTCTTTTTGTGCTCATACAATAAAACCTCAGCCCTCATTAATTTACCATGGTTATAACCTTTCAACTTATTCTGTGCTACCTCCTGAGCAACTGGGAATGGCTACAGAAACACTCATTTCAGTTCAAATTCTTAACCATTGATTCAAGTGAACTCTAAATATACAGCAACTCTCAAGAATTTCTTTAGAAAAACCATTTTCTCATTCTCTGAAACAACAATTTCACATCTTATTTGGTCTCTTCAAATCTCAAAACCTGCCTCGTTCATCTTGACTTTTAGCTGTTCACCTCTCTTCAGATGTCCTTGAGGAAAATCCAAGCAATCAAATGAAAACCACCCCACTTTCCTGCCACAAAGTCTTCTACCACAGACTTTTCTGTCCTCTCTCTAGGACAGAAAAGGAATTTTCCTATTTCTTTCCAAGACAACTCATTACTTGTGATCTGGATTCCATAATCTCCTGTCAATTTAATGACTGCTTCTGCAGTTATCTTTCCTCTTCTGCAGTATTGATTCCTCTTACTCTTTCCTGAATAACTTTAACACAGACATGATGTAATATCACTCATCTTAAACAAAATAGATGTCACTTGACTCAATGTTCCCCTGCTACTTTTGCCTCATGATGCTATTTTGCTTTAGCAAAAATCTAGGAAAATTGTATTTTTTCCTTAAGTACATTTACTACCTGATTTTCCTATTTTTACCTATTTTGTTTTTCCATCCCCACAATAGTCTTAAAACTGTCTCTGTCAAAGTTATGGCAGCTTCCATATTGCTAAGTCCAAGCTTCAGCTCTCAGTCCTGACTTCTCAGTAGCATTAGATACAACTGTCACTGCTTCCTTCGTCAAAGATGTGAACTTTTTAACCTCTAGAACAAAATCTTCTCCTATGCTCCTAATTACCTGCCTCTTCTTTAAATGTTGGATTATTCTAGATGTTCATTGAACAGGATTCTTTATAACCACTCCTCCCTCTCTAGGTCATCTATCTCATCAGATCCATGGCTTTAAATACCAACTATTAATGACCACTCCTAAATCTGAAATCAGAACCTCAGCCCTGAACTACTGTGTACAGCTGACTGTCTAATTGGCCTGTCTACTTAACCAGCAAGAAAGCCTTTCCCCTGCACTCCCTCTCTCTGAGCCAAAGAGTCTTCTACCCCAACATTCCTCATCTTTTTTCCTTAGCATCCATGAGCAGGTCCTGGTGGTGCTTCTATTAAAATGTTTCATATTCTAAAATGGGGAGAGGGGAGATAAAGGAGACATGATGGCAAGGGCAAATTTATGATATATTATAAGCACTTTTGCAAATGTTATAATGTGCCTCCAGAAGAACAATAATGATACTTTAAGTCTTTTTTAAAAAATAAACAATAACATGTTTCAATATCAATCAGTATCTGCTACCTTCTCTGCTGAGTCCTACTGATATCAGCCTATTCCAGGACCACCTCACTGTTCTCCTCCAAGTAACCAGGGTAATATTTTTTCAAAATAGAAATCAGGCCATAACACTTTTATTCATAAACCCCACTAACACATGAGAATGATAACCATTAATTACATCATCCACAAAGCCTTACATGGTGTCATACCTTCTATTCTTCCCATCTTCTCTCCTTACCTTTGACTCTTCATACGTTTCATTCTAGTCACATTCCCCTTCTTGTCATTCCTCAAAAATTCAAGCTTTTCCTACCTCAAGGCATATATAAATGCTTTTCTTTCTACTTGGAAAAATCTTCCTTTAGATCTTTAGATGGCTTGTTCTTTTTATCATTTAAATATCTGCTCAAATGTTACCTCCTCAGAAATACCTTCCCTCATTTGAATCCACCTCATTTAAATTGGTGCCAACACTTTCATCACTCCTTGTCACATCGCACAGCTTTATTATTGATTAACTCTACTTATTAATAGCTGAAATTTATATGATTTATTTTTACTTTGCTAATATTTGTTTCCTAAATATATGTTCTGTATAAATATATAGCCACTTCTAAATTTAATCTGCCTCAATTTATATCTGGAATATAATACATTTGGTGGAAAGTAGATGCATGTGGCCTGTTTGACTCTAGGTTTGAAATCCTGGCTCTACCACTTACTGGTCAAGTGACCTTAAATTGCATTCTTAACCTCTCTGGACTCAGTTTTCACTTTGAGAATGAGACTCATAGGGCACCTTCTGATTAACAAGTAAATTAATAAGGTTTAGAACAGCATGTATTGTTATTCTTAACATTTCCTTTGGCTAACATGATAGCATGAATATTATCTATCAGTATCATCGTAGAAATATTAAAAAAATAGCTTCCCAGAGCCAACCATTCACTTGTAATCCTAGCTTCTTGGGAAGTAGAGATCAGGTCAACCCAGGCAAAACACTGGTGAGACTCCCATCTTACCTAATAAGTTCGATCTGATGGTATGTGGCCTGTGATCCCAGCTGCAAAAGAGGCATAGTTAGGAGGATTGTGTTCCAAGGCTGGAGGATCATGGTTCAAATTCTTGCTCCAGGCAAAAATTCAAGACCCCATCAGAAAAATAACTTAAGCAAAAGGGCAGGGCTGAGGCCATGGCTCAATTTGTAGAGCACCTGCCTAGCAAGAGGGAGGCCCTGAATTTAAACTCTAGTACTGAAAAAAAAAAAAGTACATAAAAGCTTCTCAGCATCAATGAGTAATTTATATTGAGCTAGCAGGAACATCTTGTGTGATCTGCTTTTTCACTGTTGTTACTTTGACAAGGAAGTTATGGCTATATGAATTTATAGCTTATACTTTTTCTACATTTAGTCTTTATAACA